GTGCGAAGCCGCAGGAGATGCTTGCCATCTGGCCGTGGTTTCTCTGAACGAAGTGCGCTCGAGACATCCTTGGCGTGGTGATGTCGTGGCATCCTTGTCGGAGATCCGTTTCCCCGACTGGGGAATCGAAGGCCCCTGTGCCACCCTTTGGTGCTGCCGCTGGCTTGATCGGCGTGGTGGAGGTCCCCTCGATCACCATCGTTTCTTCCTCACGACCCATCGCCAGGCGCGAGTTCGGCATGAAGGCCCTTGAGACGTTCGGCACGTACGACAGTCTGGACGTGCCCAATGTTGCGGGCATCGAGTCTCTGATGCGAGAGGTGCGGCTCGTGGAGTACTCCTACTCGAAGCATGACGGCGTCTCAGGGGCGGACTCAGAGTCTGCTGTGGGCGGCAATGGCCGCGGCAAGAAGGGTCGCGGTCGTGGCCGTGGTGGAGCTGCGGGCGCCGTCGACTACTCTGGTGAGTACAATGCCTCCCGAGGCCAACGTGCCAGCGGTCAGGCGATGGCGTGCCCCGCCCTCGTCGACTTGGATGGCAAGCAGGTTGAGCCCGACGCCAACATCTTCAAACAGGTCCGGATAGCCCGTGAAGGGCTTATGCGGGCCCGGCCCCAGGTTAGGCCAAATCCCTCAGCGTGAGTTTCCCCTCGGCTCCCGCTGTGTCTTTCTCGAGGGCTAGGCTCGCCGTGGCGCGCGAGCTTCGATTTTCCGCCATCTGTGGTCGGCGCTCGGTCTCTCGCCTTTGTCCTTGTCCCGCCTTCCTGCCCCGCCACGCTGTGTCACCTGGTCCCATGGCGCGCCCTCCCTGTGCCGGCCCCCCCAGAACAGTTTAGGACCTCCGCCAAACGGAGGGGCCCCCGTTAAACGGATGCCGCTTGTTTGCGGAAATTTGCCCCGCAAAAAGTTCACCCCCAACGCGTTGGTAGGAGGTGAGGGTTTCACCGTCGTAAGCGCCCTTGGTCTCCGAGGTGGCGTCGCCTTTGAACGAGCTTAACGATGCGCGCGATGTTGGGCCTCATCGCATGGCGTCGGCTGCCCAGGAAGCGCGTTTGGATCATGTCCACCGCGCAGTTTTTCGGTTCGGCAAGCCTCCCGAGGACTTCACTTTCGCAGGGGCCTTGCGAGAGCTCCGTATCAACCCGGGCTTCCCCCAGGTGAGCAGCGCCGTGGCCCCCCCCGGAGAGACCAACGTAGACCGCGTCGCCCTACCCCCCGGCGGGTGGAGCCCCGTTGACACGTTGCAGCTTGGCGACTCAGTCGGCGCCGTCATCGTGGATGAGTTGTGAGCGCTTTGACGTCCTGATTCAGATATTCCAGATGCCCTTTCCCCCGCTCCTCGAGTTTACAACGATCCTTATCGCCGCTCCCATCCTAGGCTGTATCATATCAGTTTGGGCGTCACTATATCTCGCTCCATCTCGCTTCTTCACCGTCTCATGGCATCGGACCTCGTGTCATGGCGGCAGGACTCCACCTCTCGTGTTGGCGTCTTCTTCGTCGCGAAGAAGTATAGGGATCTCAGTGTCATCCTTGGTGGTCGTCGGGCTGGCGCGAATTTCAGCGCCCCCCCCCCCCTCGCGTTGACCTGGCCGCGGGCTCGGCGTTCTCGGCTCTGGAGGTCGACGGATGGGGGTCCTATCTACGTGGGGGAGACGGAAATTGAGAACGCCTTCTACGGCATTCAGTTGCCTTCAGCGTTTTGGCAGTATTTCGGTTTTCCTCGGATTCGGGCTGGTCTCTTCGGCCTGGTTGCAGACGGCAGGGGTGCCCGCCTTTGGATATGTCAGCGGATCATGGAGTTCTGGGCCCGTGCCAAACTTCCAGCCTCCCCGAACCTAGTATTCGTTGATGCCCATCTTCCTCTCCGTCTGGTTCGCTCCTCGAATCGAGCACCACGTGCCGAGTGCGTCGGTCATTTTGCCGCCCTGGGCGTCGCCGAGGGCCCCGCCCTCGCCGCGACCGAGTCCGTCGATTGGGGCCTCCGTCAAGCTGGTTCCCGCATTCGCGGCGCAACGGCGTCAGCTGGCGGGGGCGTTCTGGACTGGGCATTCGACCCCGACGCCCCGACCGTTGGGATCAACCGCCGCATTGGCTGGCGTATCCGTCTTGAGAATTTGGCCGCGGCGAAGATGAATGTCGCCTCGGGGGAGTTCGTCCGGGTCGTCGCGTCGCATTTCGCGCCCCCGTGCTCTGGTGCGGCGGGAGCTGCTATCTTGCTTGCAGGCCTTCTGTCCCTTCCTCGAGTCGGCTGGTCATCGCTCGCTCCCGCTCTAGAAATCTGTGAAGAGCGAGATCCGTCGGTGCGCCGCGCTCGTCGCGCTCGCTCGCCGCGGCTCCCGCGCCGCCGGGTGCCCCGCAGCGCGCTGTGCCGGCCCGCCCCGGCGGGGCGCCGGAGTGGCCCGGGGCGCCCGCGGCGCGGCCGAGATCCAGGAGGTCGGGCGCGACTCGGAGCGCGCGCGTTGCTCGGTGGCCCGCGAGGCGCTCCCTCAAGCCGCGGGGTTCGTCCCTGGAGTTCTCGGCCAGTGGCGGCGTGACCGCCTCTCCCCGGGGCTCCGAGATGCCGGGGGCCCACTTCCCCGAGGTCGCCGGGTCCATCTATGGCGACGACTGGCCCCTCGTAATGTCACAGAAGTTGTCCCGCGTGGAGGCCCAGGCGGTCCTGGGGGCCCGCTCGCTGTGGTCCTCGCCGCGAGGCGCGCTATTCGTGGCACTCAGAGCTTCGGCCGCAAGCGCCTGGTCTTGAAAGATCGCGTGGCCCCAATCCTCGCAGTTACTAAGGGCTGCTCTTCGAGCCCTGGCATGCTTCAATTGCAGCCCCCCTTCTTGCTTCGAACAGTTATGCGGGATGGAGGTGAGCCTCGTCAGAGCCCAACGCGGCTGGTTCCGCCTCTCGAGGACGTGAGGGCGCATTCCGCTTCAATGCAGCGCCGAATCCAGTTGCGGCGTTCGGCCCTGCCGGCCTCGAGGTCTTCCGAGATGGCTTCGTCGGCGTCTGCCCTGGTGCTGCGCAGGCAGATGGTCTCCCGCCAGGACAGCGCGCCCGCCGGGGGCCTGCCGCGCTCGGTGGCGGAGCTGTGCCGGCATGCCCTGCCGCGCCGACCGCGAGGCGCCCCTGCCGCGAGCGGGTCCCGCGCGGACCTGGCGCCGGCGGCCTCAGGGCCGCCTTCCCCGAGGCAGCGGCCGCGCCGCTGGCCCGCGACGGCCCGTCCATCCTCGAGCTGCAGAGCGTCGCCCAGGAGGCTGCCCAGGACTGCCAGACGCGCGTCGCGGCCCTCTGCGAGCGGCGCCAGCGGCGCGGCCTCGCGCTGGACCGGGCGCCGATGAGCGACCCTGACCTCGCGAACTACACGTGCGAGAAGTTTTTCGCAGGGGGACTCTCCTGCGCGCCAGCGAAGCTGATGGCCAGCCTCAGGTACTTCTGGACGCACCCCCCGGGGATGCTCCTCGAGTTGCCTCATAGCGCGCGGGCGCTGACGGGCTGGGGGCAAATGGCCCCCGCCCAGAGCCGCCTGCCGCGCCCGTGGGTTGCCCCCCTGTGCCTGGCCGTTCTGCGCATGATCGGCGCGGGTCAGGCGATGGGGGCCCTCGCGACGGTTATCGCCTGCATATTCTTCCTCCGCTCGTGCGAGTGCCTCCGCCTGAAGAGCGAGCTCATCGCCGCCCCGACCCCGTTCGCTCGCCGCCCCCCTGGCGAGCCGAGCCAGGCGCGGCCCATCCTGCTCCGCCCTCAGGAGGGGGCCGACGCGTCCAAGACCGGCCGCGTCGACGGGAGCCTCGCGGCGGACAGCCCGCTGTTCCCGCGGCCCCCGATGGCGCCCGAGGTTCTCAAGGCGAAGTTCCCCGGCGGCAGGCTGATCTTTGACTTCGGCCAGGCCGTGTGGGGCCGCGCCCTCAAGCAGGCCGCGACGGCGCGGGCTGACCTTCCTCGGGGGCCCCAACCTGCGTCGCCTCCGCCGCGCTGGCGCGCCCCGCGACCTGCTGTTCAAGGCCCGCGCCCTCTTGGGTGCCAAGAAGCGCGGCCGCTGGGCCAGCGATCGCAGCTTCGCCCGCTACGAGCGCGGCGGCCGCATCGACGAGCAGCTGAGCCTCCCGGGCCTCAGCGCCCTCGGCGCCGCCGAGGAGGCCGCCTCGACGATTGGCGTTGTCCTCGTGAATGCTTGCCGCTCGTGGTGAAGCAGCGCGGGCAGCAAGCGGCCCTTGAGATTTTCGCAGGTTCAAGACGCTTTCCCGATGTTTGGCGACGGTCCATGGCCGCGCCAGGTCACCGTGTTTTCGAGATCGACTTTCGGCATGGGCCCTCCGACGACATGTGCAGTCGTGCCCTTGTTCAGCTTATCCGCGGTTGGATCCGCAGTGGACTGGTGGTCGCTGTCTCTATGGGGGCTCTGTGTCACAATTTCTCGCTTGCACGAAATCGCCCCAGCGGCCCGCCTGTCCTGGGGACCTCGGGGTAGCCCAAGGGCCTGCCCATACTCACTGATGCATGCCGTAAACAAGGCGACCTCGGAAACAAGTTGCGCGCCTCGTCTTTCAGCATCTTTCGCGAATGTCGATTGCGTGGGCGCACCGTGGTCGTCGAGAACCCAGCGAGCTCCCATCACTGGAGGCAGCCGGATGTCCTTCGGGCCCGTCGGTTCCCAGGAGCCTCCGAGGTCGTGTTCGACATGTGCGCTTTTGGCACGCCCTGGCGAATATCCACCCGTCTCCTTGGCTGTAATATCGAGGTGGATCTGCTGGGGACTCGATGTCGAGGGCGAGGTGTATGCGCGTTTGCTGGCGCCCCCACTTCGCCCTTGAGATGAAAGGCTCGAAGATAGTCTTCAAGCAGGTTGTGGTATATCCTTTCCCTCTCTGCCCTGCTGTGGTGCGCAAGTGTCGCGAAGCGTTGCTGCAGAAATCAGTTCGAAAGTTTTTGCCGCATGCGTGTGTCCATGACAAAATTTGCAATTAGTTTTATATTGAGGCTGTGTGCTCTGGGCTTTACGACCTGGTTTGGAA